TTACGCGTCACACCACGCACACTTATTATTTACATGTAGTTCAAAATGAGAAGGTCAAGTGCAAAAAATAAATACCATGACAAAATCCGAGTCCCATTTTGACAGATCCCTACTTAGGCTTTTTGTCCATGTATAAAACAGTTCTAAATATACTACTCAACATTTGCTAAGCCCTGCACCTTTGACAATAAACTAATTTGGTCCTCAGGAAATGTTGAGTAATATATTATTTCTATGGTAAAGTATTCGAAATAACTTTGTTTTAAAAAAATAAATAATCCGCAACCCGTTTTCGTGGATTTAAAGCCGATGCGACGTTGCATTATTACTCCTTCACTCCCAGGGGTTAACTCCCGTGAAGATCCGGGGTAGAATAGGTCTTCAGCAACCCATACTTGCCGTAAGAGGCGACTTTGCTTGTCGTAAGAGGCGACTCACGGGATCGGGTGGTCAGGCTCGCTGACTTGGTTGATGCATGTCATCGTATCCCAATTGCGTGGATCGATGCGCATGATGTCAATCACTGGATTGTCTGGTCCAGACTCGATTATTTACAGACCGCCGTCATAGAGCTTGAATATTGCTGAGTGCGGCGTTAAACAACAAACAAACAACAAACAACACATGGGTTGAGCAAAATATAAAATTTAATTCAAATGTACTCCAGAATAATGTTCAATTTCAGAATTGCCAAATCAGTAGAGACTTGAATTGGATTTATTTTTTCATTTATTCTCACGCTCACCCATGTATACCTTCAGTCCTGGTGAGCTACAAATCGTCCCAGCACAATTGTGATCTTGTACCTTTAACAACTGATTGCATTCATTTTCTATCTGAGAGGTCATGCACGCTTCATAACGTTCAATCCATGTTGATCATGTTTTCAAAACGAGGAAACGTACCACAGACTCTCACTGCAATACAAATCTTTGGCAGCACGGGAGCCGTCAGCGTAATGAGTTCACCACTGCAAAGCTACACCGATTTGTTATGTGTTTTCCTCACAAATTGTGCCTCCTCTGTGTATATAGTCTACTTCAGACCGAGACCAGCGGCTTGAAGGAAATTGAGCTCATCTGGCGGTGATGAAGATGTCTCCGAAAGACTTCCATACATAACGTTTTTCCGTTGTCTCCCATCGGAGTTGACTAATCCTGCGCAAGATCGATCTGCTCCAAGGCCCTCTACTAAGAAGGTCTTCAGTGGACTGGAGGCAGCAGGTCTGCGCCTGCAACACAGCGGGAGTCTCTCGTGTTGTCCGAGATGCACGTGCATATCGTGAAATGCCAGCCGCCTGTCAAGGTATCAGGCGAACTGCACGTTCCACTACAGGTGCACGTTTTAATCTGATTGCATGTGGTACTTAATGTCGGGCTTGGGAGCGTCTACTTTCATATATACTACTCAAAAGAAGTTAAAGAACCCGACTTTTTCATGTGTGTTGCAGCCTTCCAATTGGAGGTGTGCTTTATCTTGTTTCGAGTAGTATATATCCAGGCGTTGCGGTTGCAAGGGTGAGCCTTTTGAACATCAAGTTTCATTGACTGTGAGAATTAGTGAGTTTTTCTCCGCTTTTAGCAACATTCCAGCCCTTCCAGCTACGCTCCCATAGCAAACGTCAACGCGTTCTCCAATCAGCTTCAGTGTTATTTCGTGGTAGCAAATACTTTTGACAGCTATATTTGAGAACATAACCACAAGATTGGGACAAGTTGATGTAGTTACATCTAAGAACAATACACGTATTTCCATTCTATAAAATCCTCCACACATTGTATGCGATAGTGAAAATCCAGCGGCCACTTCATTCACTATTGAATGGGGGAGGCGGTCGGGTAGCCTAGAGGTTAAAGCGTTCGCTTGTCACGCCGAAGACCCGGGTTCGATTCCCGACATGGGTACAATGTGTGACGCCTATTTCTGGTGTCCCCCGCCGTGATATTGCTAAAAGTGGCGTAAAACCATACTCACTCCCTCACTCCCTATTGAATGAGAACTGTATGGGAATAACTGTACAACACACACCGTTGTGCAATCTGTCCGTTATTTTACTTCGTATTGTTACAAATAACCGGATCTTAAAACTCAAATTGTGTAAAGGTAGCGGCGATGATTCTGTGTTATGTCGAAAATCTCACCTTGAAACGGTATAATGGGGAATCGAACCCGTATTTCGGCGTGAAGAGCCAAATGCTTTAACCACTCTGGCTACCCAAACGATATGGCGTAGATCAGCGTTTGACAGGCACATCGTTGTTTTGTCTATGACGATTCCACATTACATTCTGGTTTTGATCCCGATCAGCAGTTTCCCAGCTGATTAGGCTCCATAGTTTCCTACCTCCAAGGGATCCCAACTGATCAGTCTCCTTTGTTTCCCAACTGACTAGGTTCTACGACTTCCCAGCTGATAAGGCACTACACCTACCCACATGACTCCATTCCACGATTTTTGAACTGATTACGCTCCATTGTTTCCAAACTGATCAGGCGCCAATGTTTCCTAACTGATTAGGCGCCACAGGTCACCAACTGTTAAGGCGCCATTGTTTCCCGACTGATTAGGCGCCATTGTTTCCTAACTGATCAGCCGCCACAGGTCACCAACTGATCAGGTGTCATAGTTTCCCGACTGATCAGGCGCGAAAGTTTCCCAACTGTTAAGGCGCCATTGTTTCCCAACTGATTAGGCGCCATTTTTTCCCAACTGATTAGGCGCCATTGTTTCCCAATTGATTAGGCGCCATTTTTTCCCAATTGATTAGGCGCAATTGTTTCCCAACTGATTAGACACCATTGTTTCCCAACTGATTAGGCACCATTGTTTCCCAACTGATTACGCTTCATTGTTTCCCAACTGATCAGGCTCCGTTGTTTCCAAACTGATTAGGCGCAATTGTTTCCCAACGGATTAGGAGTTATTTTTTCCCAACTGATTAGGCGCCATTGTTTCCCAACTGATTAGGCGCCATTTTTTCCCAACTGATTACGCTTCATTGTTTCCCAACTGATGAGGCTCCGTTGTTTCCAAACTGATTAGGCGCAATTGTTTCCCAACTGACTAGGCGCCACCATTTCCCAACTGATCAGGCGCCACAGTTTCCCAACTGATTAGACGCCACAGTTTCCCAACTGACTAGGCTCCATTGTTTCCCAACTGATTAGGCGCCACAATTTCCCAACTGATTAGGCGCCAAAGTTTCCCAACTGATCAGACTCTAAGGGATGCCAACTGATCAGGCTCCATAGTTTCCAAACTGATCAGGCTCCACACTTTCCAAACTGATCAGGCTCCATAGTTTCCAAACTGATCAGGCTCCACAGTTTCCAAACTGATCAGGCTCCACACTTTCCAAACTGATCAGGCTCCATAGTTTCCAAACTGATCAGGCTCCACAGTTTCCAAACTGATCAGGCTCCACAGTTTCCAAACTGATCAGGCTCCATAGTTTCCAAACTGATCAGGCTCCACACTTTCCAAACTGATCAGGCTCCACACTTTCCAAACTGATCAGGCTCCACAGTTTCCAAACTGATCAGGCTCCACAGTTTCCAAACTGATCAGGCTCCACACTTTCCAAACTGATCAGGCTCCATAGTTTCCAAACTGATCAGGCTCCACGGTTTCCAAACTGATCAGGCTCCATAGTTTCCAAACTGATCAGGCTCCACAGTTTCCAAACTGATCAGGTTCCACAGTTTCCAAACTGATCAGGCTCCATAGTTTCCAAACTGATCAGGCTCAACACTTTCCAAACTGATCAGACTCCAAGGGATCCCAACTGATCAGACTGCAAGGGATCTCAGCTGATCAGACTCGACTATTTCCCAACTTACTAAACCCAGCTGTTTTCCAACTGATTAGACTCCACAATATCCCAAATGATAGGACATATATTCATTTTGCTGGCGACCATTTTGTGAAAGCACGTGACCTTCCCATCTCCCTCTTCTCTGCACGCTCTCCATGTCTCCGACATCCACAGTTACGCTTAAACCAAAGCACAGTTACCCAACACAGAAACAAATTGGATTTCGCGACGTACAGCCAAGCAAGAGAAAGATTTGACGTGACCCAAATTACCACAACCTGATGGACAGTAATAGTGCGACACTAATATAATGCTGTAAAAGCATACTCTACGAGCTCACGTGGCTATTTAGGGGATCAAAAGAGTCTAATAGCATTATCTGGTCTCGAGAAGAAGAACATTTCGTTCTGCATTTGATGCTTCAAACAACGTTATATTTAAAGGTGCAATAGCCAAACAAGGCAAAAATTCCCTCATCGCGACAAAGTATGGTGAAATGACATTACAAGATGAAGAGACCAGTGAGCCCGAGTATTAAAGCGCCGTGGTCAAACTCACTATTTGGGAAACAATCAACTCATGAAGACGCTTTAACTGCCAGCAGTTTCGTCAAGTATTGGTCACAATAATGTCTTACTCACAACCATTCAGGAACTAGAAATGTGCCGCATGAACCCTTTTAACCTAAATCCTTTTGAAATTTCTCTTCGTAAATCCATCTTAGCCCAGCTGATGCGAATTTGAATTTGTCTCATTCAGCCCGATAATACCAGGCCTCTTGAACTGTGCGAACATTCTCCCTGAAGGGCAGCTGAAGAGCGTTAGCTCTGCAGGATCTTCGTCTGTTGGGAATTGGATTATGTGGTGAAGAAGGCTCCGTCAACACGGCTTCAGAGACACCCTAATGTCACCAGGACATTTAGTTATATTATTTCCAGGTAGGATAATTACCTTGTATAGTCACTATGTAGGTCCCCCAATCTCCTATACAGGCCTCCCATATCGAATGTAGGACCCAAGCTCCAAGACAGGACACCCATCCCCTATGTTGGCCTCCCATCTCCTATGTTGGCCTCCCATCTCCTATGTTGGCCTCCCATCTCCTATGTTGGCCTCCCATTCCCTATGTAGGACTCCCATCTCCTATGTTGGCCTCCCATCTCCTATGTTGGCCACCCATCCCCTATGTTGGCCTCCCATCCCGTATGTAGGACTCCCATCTCCCATGTTGGCCTCCCATCTCCTATGTTGGCCTCCCATCTCCTGTGTTGGCCTCCCATCCCCTATGTTGGCCTCCCATCCCTATGTTGGCCCCCCATCTCCTATGTTGGCCTCCCATCTCCTATGTTGGCCTCCCATCTCCCATGTTGGCCCCCCATCCCCTATGTTGGCCCCCCATCCCCTATGTTGGCCTCCCATCTCATATGTTGGCCCCCCATCCCCTATGTTGGCCTCCCATCTCCTATGTTGGCCTCCCATCTCCTATGTTGGCCCCCCATCCCCTATGTTGGCCTCCCATCTCATATGTTGGCCCCCCATCCCCTATGTTGGCCTCCCATCTCCTATGTTGGCCTCCCATCTCCTATGTTGGCCCCCCATCCCCTATGTTGGCCCCCCATCCCCTATGTTGGCCTCCCATCTCCTATGTTGGCCCCCCATCCCCTATGTTGGCCCCCCATCCCCTATGTTGGCCTCCCATCCCCTATGTTGGCCCCCCATCCCCTATGTTGGCCCCCCATCCCCTATGTTGGCCTCCCATCTCCTATGTTGGCCTCCCATCTCCTATGTTGGCCTCCCATCTCCTATGTTGGCCTCCCATCCCCTATGTTGGCCTCCCATCTCCTATGTTGGCCTCCCATCTCCTATGTTGGCCCCCCATCCCCTATGTTGGCCCCCCATCCCCTATGTTGGCCTCCCATCTCATTTGTTGGCCCCCCATCCCCTATGTTGGCCTCCCATCTCCTATGTTGGCCTCCCATCTCCTATGTTGGCCTCCCATCTCCTATGTTGGCCTCCCATCCCCTATGTTGGCCTCCCATCTCCTATGTTGGCCTCCCATCTCCTATGTTGGCCTCCCATTCCCTATGTAGGACTCCCATCTCCTATGTTGGCCTCCCATCTCCTATGTTGGCCACCCATCCCCTATGTTGGCCTCCCATCCCTTATGTAGGACTCCCATCTCCCATGTTGGCCTCCCATCTCCTATGTTGGCCTCCCATCTCCTGTGTTGGCCTCCCATCCCCTATGTTGGCCTCCCATCCCCTATGTTGGCCCCCCATCTCCTATGTTGGCCTCCCATCTCCTATGTTGGCCTCCCATCTCCCATGTTGGCCCCCCATCCCCTATGTTGGCCTCCCATCTCCTATGTTGGCCTCCCATCCCCTATGTTGGCCCCCCATCCCCTATGTTGGCCTCCATACTCCTATGTTGGCCTCCCATCTCCTATGTTGGCCCCCCATCCCCTATGTTGGCCCCCCATCCCCTATGTTGGCCTCCCATCTCCTATGTTGGCCCCCCATCTCCTATGTTGGCCTCCCATCTCCTATGTTGGCCCCCCATCTCCTATGTTGGCCTCCCATCCCCTATGTTGGCCTCCCATCTCCTATGTTGGCCTCCCATCTCCTATGTTGGCCTCCATACTCCTATGTTGGCCCCCCATCCCCTATGTTGGCCCCCCATCTCCTATGTTGGCCCCCCATCCCCTATGTTGGCCCCCCATCCCCAATGTTGGCCCCCCATCCCCAATGTTGGCCTCCCATCTCCTATGTTGGCCTCCCATCCCCTATGTTGGCCCCCCATCCCCTATGTTGGCCTCCCATCTCCTATGTTGGCCTCCCATCTCCTATGTTGGCCCCCCATCCCCAATGTTGGCCTCCCATCCCCTATGTTGGCCCCCCATCCCCTATGTTGGCCTCCCATCTCCCATGTTGGCCCCCCATCCCCTATGTTGGCCCCCCATCCCCTATGTTGGCCTCCCATCTCCTATGTTGGACTCCCATCCCCTATGTTGGCCTCCCATCCCCTATGTAGGCCTCCCATCTCCTATGTAGGACACCCGTCTCCTATACAGAACTCCGATATTCGTTATCTCCATCAGGGTTGTATTTCTGCAATGAGGTACAGGATGTTTTACATTCTGCTGGATACTCAACGCTTCTCGCTTGCGAGTGGAAGTAATTTGTAACGACACACGCCGAATTAGATTTGTTATCAATTTTTTATAGCGTTAGATTGATTGACACAGGCCGAGCTAAATCGTGTATGTGGCAGGCATTCAACAGATGGCCGACACTGTGCGGAGGGAAGTGGTCAATTATTTAGATAATTCTCAGGTAGGCGGGTGGACCTGCCCCTCAGTTTGTTGTGTTGGGGTCAGGTGGGGGTCAAGGGAACGGAACGAACATAATATATTGTCATATAGTGGCCAAAACAAATCTCATCATACGGTTCGCTTATGATCTTTCATACACACTCCAGAGGATATGTTTAATAAACGAACCAACCCTCCCGTTCTCAGCTCCATCAGCAGATATTGATCCCATGCTTGGCTGTAGGAATTAAGAGACTTGAGTTCCTTGAGAAGTTACCTTGTGGAACTATTTTTATTTAACTTTATTTCAGGGGCCATATGTTAGTCTAGCTTCGCTGATGTATTATTAAGATGGGTGTGTCTTATCGGTCCAGCAATAATTCCAATTTGCAAGGTGGGTGAGTGGACGGATGTGTTTGCTTGATCGCAAGATGGTGCGAGTTCGATTCCGAGCCGGTTGGTAGGTACTGATTTCTACATCAAGACAATGTTAACGAACAACGCACACAGGATTGTAATGGTAATCGGGGATGCGGGGGTGGCGGGGGTGGCGGGGGTGGCGGTAGGTGGTGGTAGGTGGTGGGGGTGGGAACTTACTAACACTAGAAGAGATTGGGGAACCGAACTGCAGAATATCAAGTGGTTCCATGAAGTGTCTCGGAATTCATGATGAATTACACACATACATAATTTACTATAGATTCGACCCGTGGGAATTTTGGGTAAGAATATAGGTCCCCAGCAATCTATTCTTGTCGTAAGAGGCGACTAAATGGATCGGGGGGTCAGGCGCGGTGACTGGGTTGATTGATGTTCATGATGTCAATCACTAGATTGTCTTGTCCAGACCCGATTAATTACAAACCGCCGTCATTAGGGCGGTCGGGTAGCCTAGAGGTAAAGCGTTAACTCGTCACGCCGAAGACCCGGGTTCGATTCCCGACATGGGTACAATGTGTGAAGCCCATTTGTGGTGTCCCTCGCCGTGATATTGCTGGAATATTGCTAAAAGCGGCGTAAAACCTCACTCACTCACTAACGCTGATATGGCTGAAATATTGCTAAATGTGGCGTTAAAGAGGAAGGTGTGGGCGCGTGCGTGCGTGCGTGCGTGCGTGCGTGCGTGCGGTCTTGCTTGTACTAGACCGGACTTATGCCACTAAGACACATTATACTGACTCCGCTCCAACCAGTACTTGTATTCTCGCCTTGATACCGAGAACCAGGTAGGGTAACCACAACTACCATCTTTTAACGTCGTTTGAAGTAACGCGGTCGGGGCTCTTTAAACAACGAACAAACTGAAAGTCCCATATATAAACTACAGCGAAACCACGACATAGACCAGACACTCCGCTTTCAGGGCGATAAAGATTATCTTCATACACACAGTAACAAATAATATCATTCCGTGTAGTGTCAGCATGTTAATCCGGACACAACAGGGATCACTATAGTGTGGATTAACGGGGTTTAAATGTATAGGGAAGGAGCACCTCAACATCAGCTCACACATCAGCTGACATGATACAATGCTCCCTGACAGTCCCCCGGTGCTAGGGATACACAAGGCTGTAGTTATAAAGCATAATTGTCTCCTACTTACAACGTGTAATTGCCTTCAGACACGGCGATGCGGTGTCGGCGGCATCACAGACTGTCAATAAATGCGAGTTTCACAGGTTTTGTCTGGGCGATATTGTACGCGGTAAATTTGTTTCCCAATAGGACCTGGGGGATAAAAGTGAACCGTTCCAGGACCCGTAAAGGAGGCAAAATTGAATTACGTAGGCTTGTGAAATGTTTCGGGGTCGTTTTGTATGTTCCGTTACAGCGATCTCCAATCCTCTCGATTTTATTATTTGTTTGTTTGTTTGTTGTTTAACGCCGCACTCAGCAATATTCCAGCTATATGACCGCGGTCTGTAAATAATTCACTCTTAGAAAATAGTGTATAAAATGAAAGCATCACATTCTCTGTGTTGTTTTTTTCAAATTGACTGTTAAGCTAAGCGGCACGTCGCCGGAAAATCCTCTTGATTAGCGAGGATGAGGAGTAAGAGAAGGAAAGGTGATATCACTGACTTTATTGCTATGAGTGAGTGAGTGAGTGAGTGCACGACATGTCAGCTGGACATGGGGTTTAAAGCCGGAAGTGATGCAAGTCTTACTGTTTATACATCTACATCGCCTAAGAAAATCAGCTTAGGTCAAGGACTTTCTCAACCTATATTCGTAAAACGATGCACGAAAAACTCTTAAATCGGAAAACAATTATAACAGTTAAGCCTTACCTCTGGTGGGCTCTACATCTAGTTTTGTTTTCTAAAAACATACCAGCGGTGACATGAACAAAGTCAAATTATCATTCTTTTGAACATATCTAATAACTTTCACAATATTTCTGAAGGTGTTCGGGGCGGTCGGGTAGCCTAGTGGTTAAAGCGTTCGCTCGTCACGCCAAAGACCCGGGTTCGATTCCCGACATGGGTACAATGTGTGAAGACCATTTCTGGTGTCCCCCGCCGTGATATTGCTGGAATATTGCTAAAAGCGGCGTAAAACCATACTCACTCACTCACTCTGAAGGTGTTCCTCATTTCTTAAATGTAGAGATCCTCTCATGTAAAACACGTGGACAGCATATGGCTGAATAACTGGTGATGTGACTTGTAACTCACTCACTCATTCACACAAACACATTTCCCTGTACAGACGCCCCTTGTATTTTCCCCTCAGTGTACCCGTAAACATTTTAACCACACCGTTTTCACGGAACTGGGACAACGCCAGCCTTAAAAGAAAAGAAAACCACTTTTCATTGGACACAACATCACTAGTTAATAATCAATACACCACACACAATACTAGTTTTGTGTCATACCTTATAAATTAAATTTGATATTTCTGAAACTATCTTTTCTAAATCTGCCCTACTTGGAGCTGACCAAATAACTGGAGGCTATATTGGAACCTCAATTTTCTCCCCTCCCAAGCGGTAACCTCCCAAAACCCCTACATCCCATTTCCCCAACAGCTTAAGACAACAAAGTTCACGGTCCATGGCACTGCTAATCCCTAGTCTGTTACCTATTTCATACAATGGAACAACCCAAGAAACTCGAATAGATTGAGATAAATATTTAATTACGATTACGATATTATTCAAAATTCATAATACATTATAATAAAATGTTCATTTTTCAAAATTCGTAATACATTATAATTAAATGTTCATTTTTCAAAATTCATAATACATTATAACAAAATGTTCATTTTCATCTCAACTGTAAATCGTCTCATCTCAGTTTCTCAGTGAAATAATTGTTTCTTCCTATTGTTATGTTTGTAATGTCTAAAAATTGTCTTCTCATCATACAGGCATCTTTCATTACACTTACATTAATTAATTTTTTTTTAACTTTCCTTTAAGTCCCCTAATCCCCTAAAGCTCTACCCCTTTCATTTCTACTACCTCTACTCCAGACCTTAATCTCTCCTTTAGGTGAGTTCATAATGCCAGACAGGTAAATGCCGCGTGTTGTTTTTAACTAATTGTAGGGGAACTGGGTTGTAGGGGAAATGGGATGTAGGGGTTTTGGGAGATAACCCCCCAAGCCGTCTAGCTACTGCCGGCCGCCCAACCCTAAATTGAATTTCTTGCTTGTCTGTTACCCTGGCAGCTCGTCTGTTAATGGCAGCTCATGTCTTTCTTGTACGGCATTAAATCATAACTCGTCCGTCATTCTCCGTCCGCCGTGTCGCAATAGACACACGTAAAAATAGCGTTTCCATCAATACGTTTGACAATTTAGTTCTAAAAATGACTGAAGGGAACTTTAAGCGTTCAACGCTGCTGTTGCCATCTGCTCCCTCCGACCGAGCCAAGATGACGCCGTTCTGCGTTTAGCCTCCAGCATACCCGATGTAGAAAAAACAATGCCTTGAAATAATTTGGTTATAAGACAGGCGATACTGTTATATTTAACCATTTCTGTTTATTTTGGGTGGAGTGATGGACCGGGAATTAGTCAAATTTTGAAATTTGAAATGTCAGAGAAAGATTAAAATAAAATCTCTCTATAAAAAGGTGGCAGTTGCAACGTGGTTTAATTAGATATTTCGAACCCATTTGTTGATTCCGTCTGTGATAATATTCATGAATCCCTCTACATGTATCCCAAAAGAAACGCGTATCCTATTGAACAGTATTTCTTTTTAACAACGGCTTTACAACGGAGATAAAAACTAATGCAGGTCCTAGGCGTTTACACTTTTTTTTGAGTATGAAACCCACGAGCAGATGCTGCCAGTTATTTTTCTCCTTCAGCGACACCAACGTGCATAATCAGTCGGTCAGGGGTGGCAAATACACGCATGACACATTAACGGAGAGACAAAAAGGTATGATAAATGGACGGAGGGAGAGAGAGAGGGGTATGATAAATGGACGGAGAGAGAGAGAAGTTTGACAAATGAACGGAGAGAGAGGGGGTATGACAAATGAACGGAGAGAGAGAGGTTTGACAAATGAACGGAGAGAGAGAGAGGTTTGACAAATGAATGCAGAGAGAGAGAGGTTTGACAAATGAATGCAGAGAGAGAGGGGGTATGACAAATGAACGGAGAGAGAGAGAGGTTTGACAAATGAACGGAGAGAGAGCGAGAGGGGGGATGACAAATGAACGGAGAGAGGGGTATGACAAATGAATGCAGAGAG